GGGGGGGGGGGGGGGGGGGGGGTAGTGGATCAGAACCGTTGAGACATTGACACGTGTCGGCGTCTGATATTTGGAGTGACGATGGAGATCAATCCGCCAAGTGGGGGCCTCATCTTTGACCTGTAAATCATCTCATCGTATGGCCTTCTGTAGAATTTCAATAATGGCCGGAAAGCTTCCCGATTCTTCTCCGTTTTACTGACGTGGCACTCTCGCCGGAAAAACACTGCCGGCGATTGAAGGAACGACGGCCGTGGAGTCTTTGGTTGATTGACCTTCTTACCATTCCCGACCATCGGCGCACTTTTCGGCGGCAATGGCGTCGACGGGAACAGACTTTTCCTCGTCAGCCTCGAGCTGTAACTACTTCCATCGTTGATTACACCACGTGGCATTCTCGCAGCCGGTGATGCAAACGACAGGGAACGAGCGTTGAGTGGAGAAATCAGTGCAGGACCAAGTGGAGAAGGACTGGTGGGTCCCACTTTGGAAGCTGACGTGTCGGTGAGACTGAGATACCACGGCTTGAGTGAGTCGAAATGATGGGATACGGTGAAGGAGAAGCGTGAGGATGCAGATGAGCCAATCTTGGCCGTTGATTGATCGAATCGGAGGGAGGAGGCTCGTGGGTAAGCCGCAAAGTCGCTGAAATCCAACGAATCTTCAAAGTCTAGAGATGATATTATCATCGTGACCGTTGATAGCTCAACGAACGGACGAACACCCTGCAGCTCCACCATTAATAATCAACTACAAATTACTTATCCAAAATAAATAAATAAATAAAAATAATAAATACCTTCCATAAATAGGAGAAGAGCGCCGGAGGGTCGATGAGAAAGGCGGAATGAAGGCGGCCGGGGTAGAAATCCGCCACCAATTTGAGCGTCGGAAGAAACAAGTTCAAAAAAGCCGACGCCGACCTGAAAAAGCCTGCAATTTTCCCACGCTATCACACATTTAATCCATTATCCCAATCATTTCTTTTTCTTTTTCTCTTTTTTCTTCTTTAAAAACCCCAAAAATGATTTTAAAAAAAGTTGAATTCTGGGGACTTCTGCTTGTGCTGTTCAATCTCCAAGTAAAGTGCTACTGGGACTGGGACTGGGACTTGACCAATTCCCCATAATGCCCTTCCCACCTCCGCCCCATAAAGCGGTGGCTATTGATAGCGACACCGCCGTCCCACACCGGACAGCTTCTGAGACCAAAACTCAGACACTGCCGCCGCTCCGACATGGGTTCGTTTTCAATTCTTGAATTCATTAACTACTTTATGGGACTTACTTGCGTCCAAGAGAATGATCATTTGGTGCACGTTTTTGGGCATGGTCCCGATCGCTACTTCTAGCGTGAACACTAGCAAACGAGTAAACCTATATATATATATATATATATATATACATTTAAACAAAATCAATAACCTATACACATATATATATATTTCTGTAAAATTAATCATAAATTTCTGGGTTTTCATTTTACTCACATTTTCTGCGAACGTAACTTCGGATAATCCTGCTTAATCCGGAATATCTGCAAATCAAAGTACACCATAAGTACAAAGTAGCTCTAAGTGTCTTTTTTTTTTTTTCTTTTAGCGTCTATTATTTACTTATAAATTGATGATCATTCTCTAAATTAGCCCGAAACTGAGAGAGAATAATAAAAATACCAGGATGGGGCGGGATTCTTGGTCGTGGCCGGCGACATAAGCAACGCCATCTGCGAGCTCAGCGGAGAACTCGTCGGCGATCAGATTATCTGCAAAAAGAGAATATTCAAAATAAAGAGAGGAATATTACAGAGGTGAGATTCCTCGGCTTTAAAATTAAAAAAAAAAAAAAAAAAATGGTTTTTTTCTAATGGCGTCTTTAAAGGGAATGGAATCACGTAGGGTAACTTTAATCATTACTATGAAGATCATATATATATATATATTATTTATAAAATTAAAAGAAAAAAAGGGAAGATTCTTGATGGGGTTCTGAAAAAAGCTACCAATGCCAATGCTATCTCTCCAAGAAAGGCAAGCTCTCAAGCTCTTAGCAGCCTTCTTGACATGGTCACCTTTAGCCTTCAGGAACCGCTCAACACACGCCGTACAACAAAATTTCTCCTACAAACAAATAAAAAAAAAACACAAATTAAGAACAAAAAAACAACAAAAACCTTAAAATTTCCGACATGGGTTTGTTGTTCATCAACCTGTTTAACTGAAAGTGGGGCTTGTTTACGAAGAAGCTCAAGAACAGCTTCAACTCTTTGATCATTCTTCCCCATTTCTCCCTTCAAAAAACAACACTTCCTTCTGATAAATACACCAAACTTCAGCTTCACGCCACTGTGTTAAAAAAAAACCCGGTCCTTTAGAGAGAGAAAGTACGGGCAGGAGAGAGAGAGAGGGGTAATATTTGAATTAATAAAAATGGGGGGGGGGGGCGTGGGGGATTGGTGTGTCGTATTTATAACCAATCGTGGGAGAATAACGCCGTTATAAAGGAACTGGCTTTTCATAAAGGAGAAATGAAAACGGTAACGCTCATATTTAGCAACGGAAAATGGAGTCGGCGCGGACGCCGTTAAGTGCCGGTTTGTGGGACACCTACTTCTTTTATTTATTTATTTAATTTAATTTAATTTTTTGGTTCCCATTAATAATAGGAATCTGATTTTCCGTTTTTGCCCTCGCTGTTCTTGGGTTATTGTCATGTACAGTCTGCATGGTAATTTGGAGAAGAATATTGCAATAAATAGAAACCCAATACCGATTTTTTCTTTTTTCTCATATTTCAAGAATTATCATTAAAGGTGACATGACAACTATAATAGCTTCATCATTAATGTCATTATTTATTTTTTTTTTAAATATCACCCATTAATTAATAAAAATGTCATCTAAATAACAGTTTAGAGGCTATAATTGTAATTTAATAAAAAAATTGATATTTTTAATAATTAAAATTTTGTTAGAGGACCACACGAAATTAAATAATTTCAACTATTAATTTAAATAAGAGAAAATTTATAAATTAAGAGAAAAAATGAACGGGGATTATTGGACGGTAAGGTAATGATAGGATGGACGACGAAGGGTAGAGGAAATGAATGATGATGGGCCATCCAACTTGCGGTGCGCCCCACTACACTGTATTTTTCCCCTTTGCTTATTCCACGCTGGATTTTCCTTTTTTAAATAATTATTTTACTTGGCTGTGATTTGATGAATTTTATTATTTTATTAATTAATTTTCCAATTTACGTTAATTTCTACTAAATTTGGCTTATTTAGACTATTTTATTTCTTTTCATTTAATAAAAAAAGACATAAAAGTCACGCATATAGTACTTAAAATAATATGAGTTAGTAAAATAAATTATATGAATATATTTTTATTTTTTTTATTATTTAAGCGTTTTCCAAAGCTTTAAATTGGTACTTTATTATGATAATTAAATTAGTAAATAAAACTTGTTGCCTAGTGAAAATAGGCTTCCCTTTGTCTTCTTTCAAATTTGGGCACATATAAGAGATTCTTCTCTCTTTACCATTGACTTTGACTTAATATTTTATTTTAATTTTATTATTTTAATACATTTTTGTTTTTCAAGATTTTCTAAAAAATAATATTTAGAGATATATATATATTTTTGTATCGAGGTGGCTGCGTGACAATCATTTGACATATTTTATGGGGCATATGAAATGATGAGTATAGGGTTGGGGAGAGGACAGTATAATTTGCTAAATATACAGGTGGGTGACGATTGGTTGAAAGAGGAGGCACCACGTGGCATTGACTGTGATGTAAAGTTTCATCCTTCTACCTACTCTTTGTTTTTCTTCTTTTTCAAGTTGAGAGAGAGATTTCAAATTTTGAAACAAAACCCTCCTTTTCTCTCTCTTCTCTCTCTTTCTCTCTCTTAATATTATCATTGTTTGGGGGTCACCCACTATGCAACATGTGTAGACATATTAATTTATTATATAGTTTGTAAGTTGAATAAATTAAATTAGAACCCATTATAAAATCACATATATTTGGATTGATGCAACTATCGATCACGCCCCTGTATCCATGCTCTTCAACGTAATATTATTTTTAAATTTCTTTTTATGGGTAAGAAAATAAGGTATCAAAATGGTATGAGAGCTAGACACGGGGTGATGTGCTAGCGAGAACGCTGGGCCCCAATGAAGTGGATTGGGAAATCTCACATTAGTTGAAAATTGTGAGATTGACGGCGATACGTAACGGACAAAAACAAACCATATTTATTAGCAGTGAGTTTAGACTACTACAACTTTACCTACTTGTTTTTGAAGATAAACCCATGTTCTTTTAACATGTTTTATCTTCACTCATATGCTTCGTAGGAAAACTCTCAGAAGGTTGCTCGACATAGGATTACTTCAAGTCAAACATGATTAAATTTGGAGTTCTAATAACTGAGTAACTAAAAATAAAAGAAACACGATTGTTAGTATAGATTCTTTAACTATCGTACTCATTGAAATGTAATCTTGATTTATTCATGTATCTTAGTTTTACTCGAACATATCAGAAATTGAAAGATAATGCTCAACCCTCAAATAATTAACTCGAGACCCAAACATAAAAACCTATTATTGATTGCATTAAATCATTACCAATTCCTATAACATGGATATGAGTTTAAAACTGCAATAACCCATCAACAAAAATTACACTTTTTTTTTGGTATGAACTTGATTCTCAATGATTTCCTCAAATAAAAACACGACCAATTTTGAAATAAACAATCATCAACCAAGTCTCCAACACAACCATCAACGGTTTATAAATGGATATATTAATAATGAAGGGCTTTCCAATTGTGCCCTCCAACCAAATCAGCTAAAACCCACTGAGAATCAAACACAGTGACAGAACAAGTAATGAATAGGTTTTTCTTTAAGGTTGTAAAGATATGGACATGCCCCTTCGGACTTCGAGTAACCGTTGAGCGGGGAGAAAAAGGTAAATTTAATCCACAAAAACACATAATTAAGGGAGAAAAAAAAAAAAAACATGAAATGATTGAAATGGCGTCGTTTTGCAGTTTTGTTGACCACAGCTAGCTAGCTCAATGGCTGTGTCTTCAATGGTGGAAATCAAGAGGGGCCATATGGCAGCTGGGATTTTTATTTATTTATTTATTTATTTATAAATAATTTATTTTCTATTTTCTGAGTGTGTGGTGGCCCACCATTGATGACTAAAGTCTCCTTCTAATCCTTCGCCTTTTTTGGAATTTATAATTTTTTTTAATAAATTAATTGTTTAAAAAATAAAGATGTAAAAAATGTTAATTGTTGAAATATCAATCAATGTCATTTCATGTAAAAAGGTATTGATTTCACAATTATACCAAATATTTGTTTTTTTGTTCCCCTTTTATTAATTACTTTTGTTTTTATTATTTAGAATCATTTTTGAAATGACATATATATATATATATATATATATTTATTTTATTTTCTATTTTTCGATAAATTGAAATGACATGCATCATATACATATACATATACATATACATATATATATATATACATCAACAAATTTAAATTAGGAAATGGAAAATAATGAGTGAAAAAAGGTGAAAAAAAGTAATTTCTGAAGAAAAATAATAATTACGAACCAGAGAGGTCTGATACTCTGAGACAAATGTTTGCTGTGTTCGTCTGAAGTAACTTAAAAGGCAGAATAAAATAATAATAAAATTAAATTAAAAAAAAGAAGAGGAAAATCCTGACCGAAAACACCCTGCCCTAAACCCTGCCCTAAAAGAGTCCTTAAGTCTTCAGGGGGCAGTGTCCTTAACATAGACACCCTGCCCTAAACCCCCACTCTTCTTCTCATTCTTTGTCTTCTATCGTTTTGTCTGTGTTTTTTTTTTTTAACTGTTTGTCTAATTTAGAGAATGATCATGAATTTATAAGTAACGAATACATCTCCATTGATACAAGATTTTTTAGGGAAAGTCTAAAGTAAAGTCATGAGAGCTTATACTAAAAGTGGACAATATCGTACTATTGTGGAGAGTCGTGATTTCTAACATGGTATTAGAGTCATGCCCTTAACTTAGTCATGTCAATAAGATCTTCAAATGTCGAGCAAAGAAGTTGTGAGTCTTGAAGACTTTGTTCGAAGACTCCAGAGGAGTCAAGCCTTGATTAAGGGAGGGCTCCATAGGCTTCCGGGAGTTTTCTGGGATCTATATTTGCACATAATTGAATCTTTTATATATATATAAAAAAAAAAAACACAGAATTCTATTTTCTTCATGATTGGAGCGTTAATTCATCCTTCATGGGCTCAACTGAACCAACAGGCTTCACTTGGACTCTAGCTGTACTGGACTTATATTGGGCCTCGGCCCAAATTCATTTTTATGTGGACGCCGCTAGGCACGTGCCCAGCGCCTCCACACGTGACTTTTTTTTTTTTTTTTCTTTTTCTTTCTAAATAACCATTTTGTTTTGAAAGCTGAAATTAAATGTTTCATATTGTCTAGGAAATAGGCACGAAAAAGTATAGAGAACTCATTAATTAATTGCACCTAAAATAATAAAGCCAAAGTCAATGTCAACGTCAACGTCAACGTCAACGGCAACGTCAACGGCAACTATTATTTATTTATTTATTTTCTTGAAATTTCTAAGGGAAGAAAATTTATCTTCAGTTTGTTCATCCAACGCTCTGCTTCCAATTCCAATGGCTGCCATTAAACTCTTGTATCTCTCTCTCCCATTGCTTCTCTGTTTTCTTCACTGTTACGCTCAGAACGGCATCGTTAATTTGAAGTCATCAATCGTGGCTGGGTCGAATGATTTTTGGGTATCACCCTCCGGCGAGTTTGCTTTTGGGTTCCACGAGATCACCCCTGACAGATACCTTGTCGGCATAGTGTTCGACAAAATTCCTGAGAGAACTTTGGTATGGTCCGCTAACAGAGACAACCCAGCAAACGCTAAGTCCACCATTATTTTCGGACCCACCGGCGAATTTGCGCTGATTCATGCTAACGACACTAAAGTTTCAATCTACGACGGCACCGACACTACCTCGGCTTTCATGTCTGACGATGGCAACTTTCAGCTGCTGAATTCCTCCTCCGATCCCATATGGCAGAGCTTCGATCATCCCACCGATACTCTATTGCCTGGACAGGTTTTTAAACTATTACTCCACTCAGAATTTTATATTCTATTTTGCTCCAAATTTTTATGTGGGTCAGGATCACAAGACAATACATACCCTCAATCAAGATGAACAAAAAAAAAAAAAACAATAGAGAAAATACAACAATAAAGAAATATAGGCTAAAGGATTTATATTGATAACTTTAGTATATACTTTCATTCTCTGTGTTCTTTAGCTTATATTCCTGCTTGTATTTTCTTTCTCCCGCTCTTTGTATTCATCTTGATCGAGTGTGTGCGTTATTGTGCGATCCTAACAGCTATAAGAGTCATTCACTCAATTTAGCCATGTCAATAGAATCCTCAAATGTCGAATAAAGAAGTTGTAAGTCTCGAAAGAATAGTCAAAAGTGACTCAAGTGTCAGAAAAAATGAGTCGTTAAAAGTACACCATTTGTTCAAGGACTCGAGAAAAGGAGTCGAGCCTCGATTAAGGGGAGGTTGTTCGAGGGCTCCATAAACCTTAAGAAAAGCTCTATAGAGTACTTTATTGGAAGGGAAAATTCTGAGGGGAAAGTCTCATGTTAGCTAATTTAAAGAATGAAGATGTTTTTTGGGAAGCAAATCTTATAATAGATTCTGGTTCCTAACCATATATTCTTAATATAGGTTCTTCCCAAGGGCCATCAACTGTTCTCAAATGTGAACGGAAAAACCGACTATTCCAAAGGCCGATTCATGTTGGATGTAGCAGACGACGGCAATGTCCTCTTGACTTCTTTTCGAAATGGTGATCCTGCTTATAAGTATTCCGGTACGTCCGGAAGCAGCAGCATCGTCTTCAACCGAACGACAGCTCTATTGTATGTCTTTAATGGCACAACAATTACATATACAATGACGACCGAACAGCCACCGCCAGTAGAAGACTATTACCACAGAGTAATCCTCGATGATCAGGGGAACTTCCGGCAGTTGTATCGGAGTAAGACTGGCAGCGAGTGGGAAACGGCATGGAAAGTGGGTTGAAAGGCCTTGTTTGGTGAATAACATTTGTGGGGTGTTTGGATTTTGCACCTCACCTGACAATGAAACTGTGAATTGTTCGTGCTTGGAAGGGTATTCTTCGATTGATCCAAACACGCCCTCTAAAGGGTGCCAACCAGATCTGGTCATGGACTTTTGTTCATTAGATTCTACACATGAGAGCTTCAAAATTGTTAGGCTTGAAGATGCTGATTTCCCATATCTTAAGGACTCTGATGTTTCCATGGTTGGACCATTGGATGACAGCCAGTGCGAGGAAGCTGTGAGAAAAGACTGTTTTTGCTCGGCTGCCGTTTATTTTAATAATGGTTGCTACAAGAAGAGGATGCCATTGTTAAACGCTAGACGAAGCATTTCGGACACCAATAATCTTGTGGCGTTCCTGAAAGTTCCCATCAATAATGACGGAAAAACACTCATTTCTAACGAAGCTCTGCTAGCGATATTTGTGGTATGTTCAACATTTGCATTGCTTTTTGCAGTCGTTTCCGTCTATTATCAGCCCTTTCTTACAAGGGGTTTGTTTAAAGAAAAGAAACCTGCAAAGCTGAATCAGTTGGAGGTGAATTTGAAGGCATTTTCATTGAATGAATTGAAAGAAGCAACAAATGGATTCCAAAAGCAACTTGGGAGTGGAGCTTTTGGTACAGTCTATCATGGGGTTTTGAGGTTGAGAGATCAAGAAGTGGAGGTTGCAGTAAAGAAATTGAAGAAGCTGACTGAACATGGAGAGGAGTTCTTAACAGAAGTCCAAATAATTGGTTTGACTCATCATAGAAACCTGGTTCAATTGTTGGGATTCTGCAACGAGGGAGATGATCGGTTGTTGGTTTTTGAGTTCATGAAAAATGATACCTTGTCAAGTTTCCTGTTTGGGGGGAAGGAAAATGAAAAGCCCAAATGGGAAAGCAGAGCAAAAATGGTGTTGGAAATCGCCAGTGGGTTGTCATATTTGCACGAAGAGTGCGAAACCCAGATCATCCACTGCGATATAAAGCCACAGAACATTCTCCTTGACCACAATTACAGAGTGAAAATCTCAGATTTCGGCATAGCTAAGTTGATGAAGAAAGACCAGACACGCACAGACACGATGATGAGAGGAACAAGGGGATACATGGCGCCAGAATGGATGAGAGGTTTACCTGTTACCAAAAAAGTTGACGTTTACAGCTTTGGAGTGGTTTTGTTAGAGACCATCTTTTGCAGAAGGCATGTTGTAAAAGAGATAGAAGCCTCTGATGCAACATTTCTGGTGGACTGGGTTGTAAGTTGTTTGAGAGCAGAAAGATTGAGAGACGTGATAAGCCAGGATTCTGAAGCAGTGAATGACTATGAAAGGTTTAAGAGGATGGCAATGGTGGGTCTGTGGTGCTTGTCTTCGGATCCGGTACGCCGCCCATCCATGAAAGACGTTGAACGGATGCTAGAAGGAAGCATTGAGGTGAGGATCCCTCCTCTGCTTGAGTCATCATATACATACCCCTACTATTAGTGCTTCTCTGTTTGTGTTCATCTTAATCAAATGTGTGTTCTTGTGCGATCCTAACTTCATCATCGTGCTCTCCCTAAACTCGAGTATATTTGAATTCCGTCCCTCAAAGTCGCTCCAAGTATTGTTCAAACTTGCACACAGAGAGTGGAACTAATTAGTAGTTCATCCTCTTGACCAGCAAAGCTACGACACCATTCGACAGTAGTCACTGTGTGCATCATGGTGTTTCCTTGCTTGTTAGTCCTCTCTTCCACGACTTTAGCTATGTTGAGATATGATTCAAAGTATTATATATGATTTAAAGTAGTTGAGATATGATTCAAATATTCAAACTAACAAGATTTTAGGAGATTAACAGTACATTTAAATTTAATTTCCATAATTTACTATTTTGGACCCCAGTGTCTAAGCCTATCAATACTGTGATTGTATAACCCCTTTGAGCACGAAAACAATTACTCGAAAACAATAATAAAGTAATGCAGCTTTAATCTATTTTATTTTTTCATATCTCTTTCACTATCCCTTTTCCCAACAAGCTACACTATACGGTGCAATGAGTCTAGATGGGGTGGTTATTGACGTCGTGCTCGTCATGAGATAACTCAACAGACTTTTCTTCTCCTCTGCCTCGTTTTTTTTCTATATCATGTTATTTTTCTTTGCAGGTGGATTGGCATATATTTGGGGTCGGGGAAACCTCTAGGGTGAGGGTGCGAAAATTCCATTAATTTCCCGTCCCCACAACTTCAATGTCTTGGTTGATTTTTCTGAAGTTGAATTGACTTGGTGCTTGACTCCCAAGTCAATGTCTGTCTGTATCTAATCCATTACACCCCTACAAAGCAGCTTCCGGATCAGACCATTTCAGAAGCACGATTGTTCAGAAACTTCAATCCGTCCACCATGGCCAACATCCTCATGCTTCTTTCCTTTCTCCTTATGAACTTCCATGAGTGTTTGGCTCAAACTGGCTCCGCCATAAGCCCGGGTTCCTCCATTACTGCAGGATCTACCCATTCCTGGGTTTCTCCATTAGGGGACTTTGCTTTCGGTTTCTATCATCTTTCCAACGATCTCTACCTTGCCGGAATTTGGTTTGATAAAATCCCCGAAAAGATACTGGTTTGGTCGGCCAACCGTGACAATCCGGCGCCGCTGGATTCCGTCGTCCAGTTGAACAACACCGGCCATTTTGAAATTCTGTCCCCAACCGGCTCCATTATTCCATCAACATTTACAGAGCAGAAGACCCCTGCAAGTTCCGGCCAAATGCAAGACGATGGCAACTTGGTGTTGAAAAACGCCAATCCTGAGGCCGTCTGGCAAAGCTTCGATTGGCCGACAGACACGCTCCTTCCCGGACAGGTTTTGGGCGTCGACAAAAAAATGTTCTCTGCAAGAACCAGCTCAGATTTCTCAACTGGGAATTTCATGTTGCAAATGCAAAGCGATGGGAATCTGGTGCTTTCCAATTACCTCTTCTCTAATATTGGGTATTGGTTCACAATAGCAACAGAGGTTGCAAACACTGTCTTGATGTTCAATAACTCTGCTTCAATGTTCCTTACCAATGGAACTTCCCCAATTGGACAGATATTTCGCAATTTGACAGTTAATGATCAAGCCCCAATTAAGGATTACTATCACAGAGCAACGATCGGTGTCCATGGCGATTTTCGACAATATATTCACCACAAGACAGACAGAAATGAATGGAAAAAGATTTGGGGAGCCATGAGCGATCCTTGCCTTGTGAACACAGTTTGCGGCTTAAATGGTCTCTGCATATCATCCGACAACGACACAGTAACCTGCGATTGCTTGCCGGGCTTTGTTCATTTGGATCCGACCGATGCTATGAAAGGATGTCGGCCAAAAACAGTGGACAATTACCGTAGTGAAGATTATGGGAAGACATTCGAGATCCAGGTGATCAATGATGTCGATATCGACTTCCCCCCTGGAGCAGGACAATTTTCAGTATTGGCTACTACAAACGACGTTGATGTTGAGGGATGCAAACAGGCAATCCTCGGGGATCGTTATGCCATGGCTGCAACTTTGAATGGCAGGACATGTCTTAGCAAAAGGACGCCATTAATGAATGCTAGAAATACTTCCAATACTAAAGGATTAAGAACTCTGATCAAAGTGCCTTCAGGAAACAGTCCGATGGGTTTAAACAACAAACCAAAAGACAAATCGAAATACCGAAAGTTCTTGGAGATCGGCAATATAATCGCTGGAGTTCTTGCTTTTTGCTTCGGAGTCGTTGCCCTCTTCTCTCATCCCATAACTGGAAGATTGTTGAGAAGGAAGCAACGTTCAAGTGCAAGTGCCATCGGAATCAATTTCCGGGAATTCACTTACCAGGAATTGGATGATGCAACCGATGGATTCCACAGGATCCTCGGCCGGGGATCTTCGGGTAAAGTGTTCAGCGGAGATTTACACATAGACGGTGTTGAGGTGGAAATTGCAGTGAAACTGCTCGATAAAATGCATGAAAGAACTGAAAATGAGTTCGTGACGGAGCTCACAATCATCGGCCGGACGTATCACAAGAATTTGGTCCGATTGTTAGGTTACTGCATCGAAAAGGAGAATCAATTTCTTCTAGTGTATGAGCTAATGCCGAGGGGAGCACTATCAGGTTTCCTATTTGGCAGTGGCGAAAACCCTAATTGGGCACAGAGGGTCGAAATTGCGTTGGGAATAGCGAGAGGATTAGCGTACTTACACGAAGGGTGCGAGACGCAGATCATCCATTGCGACGTGAAGCCCCAAAACGTACTCCTCGACGCCAATTACACAACGAAAATCGCAGATTTTGGGATATCGAAGCTGTTGATGAAGGACCAAACGAGAACAAACACGGAGGCGAGAGGGACATTTGGGTACATGGCGCCGGAGTGGCTGAGGGGAGCTCCGGTGACGGCAAAGGTGGATGTATTCAGCTATGGGGTAATGCTGTTGGAGATAATTTGCCGTAGAAGGAACGTTGAGTTGGATCGAGTGGAAGAAGAAAGTGAGGAGGAGGACTTGGTTTTATCGAATTGGGTTCTGAGTTGCGCGGCGGCCGGTAAACTGGAGACGGTGGTGGGAGATGAGCCGGAAACATTAAGGGATTTGGACAGGTTTGAAAGGATGGCAATGGTGGGGTTATGGTGCATTCATCCAGATGCGTCTCAAAGACCATCCATGAAGAAGGTGACCCAAATGTTAGAAGGCACGGACGATGTTGGAACCCCTCCTCAGCTCCTGCGCGCCACAACCTCCTCCTCAGCTGCTCTACTTCTGTCGACCGGCTCCATCCCTTTAAGTGAATAAGCTTCAACCTTTTTCGTGTTATTTTAAACAAAATAGTCTTCCTTTAATTTCTTTTCAATTCATTTTTAAATGTTCCTTACTCCATTCGTTTTTGTTATAATTGCTTATAAGAGTGTGTAAACCTCTCTAATACATGCATTTTTAAACCGTTAAACCAACGACAATATGTAACGGACTAAAGTGGACAATATTTATTAAAGGTGGACTTAGGTTGTTACACATGGTATCAGAGTCAGACACCAGGCAATGTGTTAGCGAAAGGGTTGAACTCTAAAGGGAGGTGGACACGAGACGGTGTGCCAGCAAGGAGGTTGAACCCTAAAGGGGGTGGACATGAGACGGTGTGTCAGCAAGGATGCTGGACCCCGAATAAGGTGGATTGGGAGATCCCACGTCAATTGGAGAAAGAAACAAATGTTAGTGAGGTCGTTGGGTCCCAAAGAGAGGTGGATGGTTGAAGAGGGGAATAAAACATTTTTTTTATAAGGGTGTGGAAACCTCTTCCTAATATACGCGTTTTTAGAAACTTTGAGCAAGAGCCGAAAAGTGTAAGCGCTCAGAGAGGACAAGGGTGTGGAAACCTCTCCCTAAAATACGCGTTTTAAAATCTATAAGAAAGTCTAAAATGAAAGCGTAAAAGAGGACAGTATCTACTAGCGGTGAAGACATTTTCATTTACCCGAAAGACGACACAAATTTCTAAACTCGACGTTCTCGAGACGAACGTATACATCAAAACCTCTCCCTAACAAACACTTTTTGGGGTAACGAAAGAAATGGGTTAAAGCAACCGATGAATATCATGTATAGGATATGTTTGGATGAACAAACATCAGAATTCAGGAGAACAGAGCATTATAACAATTCATGTCATAAGAAAAGCATTAGAAATAGGAAATTTCTTACAGATCATACACTTGTTTACCAGTGAACTTGACTTCAATGGGGCTCACATTCTTCCCAATGGACCTGAAGTTCTGCCCAACTCCTTCCCTGCCTGGATTCACCTTCTCTGGATAAACCCCATCTTTGGGGTGCAAATACTGAACTTCCCCATTCGGAAACACCCTGTAAAATTGGTACTTAATCTTGTACTTGGATCTCAGCCTTGTCCCCAGAGCCAAACACTGCTCCTTCCTCGCCAATTTCAGCAGATTCGGGCCCTGTCGCATGATGGCTGCGCCTCCCGTTGGCATTTCGAAGATTTGCTCCTTCGGGGACTCCCATGTTATGACATAGAATTCCTCGACCTGGGCCTTCCGGAGTAGTCCCCCGGTGCTGCCGGCGAAGATTGGGGAAGGGGTACTTGGGTCGAGCTCTGGTGGGGAGAATCCGGCAGGAGCCTCCGTAGCCGCCGCCTCGGCCTCAGCTGAGACTTTGACTATTCGGGAAGATGCGGCAGGCTTGATGAGGGGCTTGGAGTTGATGAAGGAGAGAGTGGAGGATTGCTTCCATGGGATGGTAACGGCGGTGGATTTGGGGGTGGAGAGTGATGGGGTGAAGAGGGTTGCTTGAGCGGCCATGGCCATTGGAGCTGCAGAGAGAGACGAGAAATGGAGGATTGGAAATGGTGGATTGGGAATGGAGGATGATCAAGAACATTAAGAACATGAGAATTTGGGTGTGGATAAGATGATCCTTGTTGGGCCAATTAGAATCCTTGATTTTGATACGCATACCTCTTCCACACCTTTCATTCATCCTCAATTAATTCCAACTCATTTTTCCTAAGTGTAAAATTATTATTATTTTTTTTTTTTTTCATGTGCAATGAGTATCTACAACGGTTACGTTCAGAACTACATCAGACCTCTAGAGATGTATCAGCTTAAACTCACGTACTTTCTCTTCTGAGCTTCCACTCAAGATTTTAGAATGCGTTTAATTAGAGAGAGGTTTTCACACTCATATAAGAAATGTTTCGTTCTCCTCTCCAATTAACTATGGATCTATCCACATGTTTTAGGGGCCCAACGTCCTCGTTGGCATACCGTTTGGTGTCTAGTTCTGATTTCATTTGTATTAGTTAAATTACCTTAAAGCTAACACGAAAGACTTAGCAACTAGGTTCGTTAGAGATGAGCTGACGAACCTAAAAATAAAGGGAATGGTTAGACTGAAGACTTGATCTAAGACCAAAAGACCCAGAACAACTTGTTATGAATAAAACTTAATTCATCAGGAACATATTACTAATAAAATTACTTATTCAAAAGATTATTTTACCCACCAAAATTATCTAATTTTCTTCAAGACGGTGATATAAACGAGTTGTAGAGTTTAGGATTACTGTAAGCAAACCGGATTCCCGATGAGCGGCCGTTACTATAAAAAGCCCTTACAAATTGCATTTTTACGAAGGAATTGGCATGATTGGGCAACAAAATCAAAGGCAAGAGCAAACCAAATCAAACTTTCTCATACACATCATTCATAAATCTCTTCCAAAACCAATGTCGCTTCCAAACTCTCTCCGTCATTTCTTCGATCGGAACGCCCTTTGTCTCCGGGACCAAGAACACCACGAACACCGACATCATAAACACCCAACCAGAGAAGAACAAGAAGATCCCAAACTTCATATGACACAACATCGACAAAAATGATTGCGCTATCACAAAAGTAAACACCATATTCACACAAACCGTGACACTTTGCCCAGCCGATCGTGCCTCCAATGGAAAAGTCTCGCTTGGAATCAACCATCCCAATGGACCCCAAGACCAAGCAAAAGACGAAACGAAAGTGCACACCATCAACACCACCACAATCGCCATCCCCCGCGACATGTTGTTCGTGTTGTCATCCAATTTCAACCCGAGCACCACCGCGATGATCATTTGAGATATGAACATTTGAACTCCAGCTTCGATCAACAACACTCGTCGACCGAGCTTGTCGACCGAGTAAATTGACACCAACGTCGATAGCACATTGACAGCGCCTGTTATCACCGAAGAATACAGAGACGCATCGCTGCCAAACCCCAACGTGCTAAATAAAACAGGAGCATAGAACATAATCGCGTTGATTCCTGTGAATTGTTGGAAGATCTGCAACATTACAGCTATCACAAACGGCGGGCGATTCTGCCGCTTAAGGAGGCTTTTGAATGGATGCTTCACTGCTTGAGCAATGCGACTTGCCTCGACGATCTCCATGTACTCTGGCTCGACATTGGTTGTGCCTCTAATTTTCTTCAGCACTGATTTTCCTTTCTCTAAATGGCCACGTTCGATCAAGCTATTTGGAGTATCATCCACCAAGATTGCACCGAGAGTCAATAGCAATGCTGGAACACCCGCCAGCCCCAGTGATACCCTCCAGCCCCATCCTCCTTCGATTCTATCATACATTTTTAAATTTCAAAATCTAAACCTGATCACAACCCAGAAGCCGAAAATACGTTTAGAGTTCAAATCTTACTTGGATGTGCCATAATTGACGAGGTTCGCAAACAAAATTCCGACGGTTACGTCGAACTGGAACAGAATATTCAAAGCTCCACGAATCCTTGTCGGAGCTATCTCTGATAGAAACAGAGGCACCGCCTATTTTCCAACACCGAAATTACAAGATGTTAAAGAAAGAGAAACAAAGCCACATCCTACTTTCTATTAAGAATCATGAACCTCCACAATGGTACGATATTGTCTACTTTAAGCATAAGCTCTCAGGGTTGGTTCTCGAAAAGGTCTCATACTTATGTAGATATATTTTTTACTTGTAAACACAAAAAATAGGATCATTCCCTCCCAACAATCCTCCCCTCAAACCAAGTACACCAGAAAGCCTCTCCTGAAACCTATGGAGCACTCGAACAGACTCCCCTTAATTAAGGCTAGAGGAGTCATATAACAAAGTACACCCTTTGTTTGACAATTGAGCCACTTTTGACTACACATTCATACTCACAACTTCTTTGTTCGACATTTAAGGATTCTATTGACATGAAACATTTGAAGATTTCTTTGACATGACTGACTTAAGAGCATGATTCTAATACCATATTAGGAACTACGAAACTTCACAATGGTATAATATTGTCACTTTGAGCTAAGCTCTCGTGACTTTGTTTGAGGTTGCAAAATTAGTAGGTTAACGAGCTTGGTTTAAAACGAGTAGGGATTCAAGAAGGAATGCAAGCAAACCTGGTTGGCAAATCCAACGCCACAACCCAGAGAGATTCTTCCAAGAATGAGCATGAGGAGGCTGACGGCGGTGGCGTTCAAAACAGTTCCGACAATGAAGAAAATCCCAGCAATAAGCATAGTATGTTTCCGACCAAGAACTGTGGTCGTGTAAGAAGCGAAAAACGTGGCAGTTAACGCCGCCAAATACAGAGAAGAAGTGAACAACTGTAAGCTTTCATTGTCGTATTTACAGTAATTACTGTCCTCCGCTTCGTGACTTTGAATCCTCTCGTACACCACCGGAAAGAACTCTCTCAAAAACGAAGGCATCGACGTCACTCCCCCTGTTTCGACATGTCGATCAATTCCCCCATAAACAAACTAAGAACAAAGTCAAAATTGAGATGAATTAACTCACCAGACACGCCGATATCATAGCCGAACATAAGCCCTCCGGTGGCCGCCAATATACACGAAATAATAACCACCGGCGTTATCTTAGCCTCGAACTCGACGCCGCCCGGAGCCACCGCAAACGCTGCTGCAGGCATTGTTACCAAAATTTTCCGATGGAGATTGAATTTCGAACGTGTGGGATTTGAATATTTATAATGAATTGGATACGAATGAACAGAACGCGACAGTTTCAAAAACAGAGTAAAATCCAGTTTTTTGCTGATGAACAGAGCATCGTATGGGTGTGTCGGATCAACCGTTTCAGAAACAGAGTGTGTATATATATAGTAAAAATGATTAAGAGATAATGTAGAAGTAAAGTAAATGCGGTGAGATTACTTGGAAATGTTATCCAAATCCAACCAAATGAAACGTTCCAATGTATTCAAACTGACCAAATTCATGGAGATTTAAAGGCATCCATCCTTTTTTTTGCATCAAAAAAGGAAAAATAATAAGACATTATTTTTTTTCCATTTATGTTTCATTTTTTTGTTTCTCAACATTACCTCAAATGGAAGAACATTAATGTACATAATCCGACCCATATAATCATTGACCCATGATGTATACTTTGTCAACCTCGCCATTGTAAAATTACTCTTAAATGTTTTGTTTCCATCTTCGACTCATGTGGAATCTTACGAAGAAAAACTACCAAAGTAATTCTGAATTTATATCAATAGTTATCTAAAACTATAGAAATTTTTTAATTTATTAACGTGACAATTTTATTAATAAAATTTTTTTAGTATAAGGTACGTAGTCGAGAATTACATTCCATCTCCATTTACAACCTCCTATATATCCTAAATAACTATATACTCTTAAAAAATTAAAAGATTATATTATAATATTAAATTTTTAAAAATGATGTTTAACACTCAATTATATTTTTTTTCTTATGCCATATTATTAGATTTACTATTATATTTTAAGGAATTATATTGAAAAATAAAAAATTATATACTGAAACATTTTTGAAATATATATATATATATATATATATATATAACAGTAAAAAATAAATAAATAAATAATTTGAGAGAGAGAGCTTTGGTAAAAAATAAAAAAATAAAAAAAATTCTCAATTATTTAAAATATTTAATACATTTCCTAATAATTAAATATAATTAGGATTTGTTTGGAAACGAAATTCCATTTATAAAATTTTACATTTTTATTTACTTATATTATGCCATTATCATGATGTGACACTCGAGTAAATAATACATAAACGAATGAACGATGATTTCTTTAATTGCTTGTCAATTAGTAGCATTATAGGAACACAACAGTCGAGAGTCAAGTATTTATTGATTTCTTCGAAAAAATTGAAATAAAAAACAGACACGTTAGCAGGTAGCACAGTTCGAGACGATGAATCGTGGATTGAACTACTTATTTCTCCACAAAAAAAGGATAAAAGATAACGATGAGAAAGCATATAATACACACCACTCAAGAACTCGCAAGTAATTGAACACACTATGCGTGATAAATAAGTTGCACTATTTTTCACCTCTATTTCCAGCCACAATATTTATTTAATGTTTTTTTTATAAATTAATAATATGTTCAATTTTTATTTTACCTAACTTCGTACCACGTTTTAACGAGAATTTCTTTTGCGACTTTGTCAGACTTTAGGTGAGGTTCTCTTTTGTCGATCGAACACAACTAATACGAAAATTAAACTTATTTAGCCATAAATGCAGTCAGTGCATGCATATTAATTTATATTTTAGCTGACTTATCTATTATATTATTTTAATTTTGGTCGAAACCAAATAATAAAGGATTACAATAATTAAATTAAAAAATTAATTATACATATTTTATTTAAAAAATTAGTAAATTATTTTAAATGAGATTATCTCATATTAAATACTTAATTTTTAATTGGATAGCCAATTATAAGTACTATTAAAAATTGAGTACTTATACTAAGTTAATTTACTATTAATTAGTTAATGGTTAGATGGAGATTAACTTAATTTAACCACCAAATCTAACTAATGAACTAAATATATTTAATATATTTTTAGTTAATTAATTAATAATTTCATTTGTTTAATGATTTTTATTTATGAATTAAATTTGAAAAAGAAAAAAAAAAGTTGGTGGGCGACGTCAGCTCGAAAGGTCACCAAAATGCTTGGTATCATATTGCACGTTTTGTTTGGGGCCCATCTACAATTAATTCAAATTAAGTGGAGCAAATTATAAATAACAAAAAGTTCTTAAGAAGATTCATTGGTCTGCTGAAAATGGAACTTTTTGTATGATGGGTTAGTTGAAAATTTTTAAATATTAAGGCCACAATCTCCCAATTTCCATTTTTTTAGGGCAAATTTTCAATTTTTAAAATATTAAGGCCACAATCTCGCAATTTCCATTTGTTTTGGTGCCCTTTTGAAAATTGGTGGATGAGAGTTTTCCCAACAACTAATCCCAATTAATTTTTTAATTTTGTGTTACAATTACCATTTAATCTATAATACACGAACTTTTGACCATACTTAATTATATTTTTACAATATTTTATTTAAGATAATAAAATATTACTTTAACATGAAACGATGTAAAAAGAATAGACCAAATAAAAACGTGGTTTAATATTTTAGTTGTCAACTTCTCCCAAACCGATAGTTATATGCAGTAAACCGTTGTTGTTGTCTTTTTTGCTTACGTGACACCAATTTCAACTTTCTTTCGAAATCTCTCTACCCAAACCTTCTTCTTGAACCGGGGCCAGAGGCTCGAGCATACGTCGCTTGGCCGTAGGCAACACAAGAACGAATAGGCTTAACTCACTCGTTGCTGAGAAGTGAGTGCTACACAATCGCAAGTCCACTGCCATCAAAGTGTGATTGTGACAAGATCTCACATTGTTTACATAGGGATACAGAACATTTTTTATAAGAATGTGGAGACCTCTCTCTAGAGGACGCATTTTAAAATCTTGAAACTGATGATGATACGTAATGCGTTAAAGCAGTCAATATCTACTAACGGTAGGCTTGAGCTATTATAAATGGTATTAAAACAAGTCATTGTACAGTATGTCAGCGAGGTCATTGGCTCCTAAGAGGTGGATTGTGTGAGATCTCACATTGGTTGAAAAGGGTGTGGAAACTTCTTCATAGTAAGCACGTTTTCAAACTGTGAGACTGATAATAATACTAATGGATTAAAGCGAACAGTATCTACTACGGGTGGTGGTGTCTGTGAATAGAAAATTGCAACTGGCAGCTGCAATAACACATTTGTATAATTTTATTTTATTTTATTTAAAATATATTGTAAAGTATTGGAAGACAATGATTTTTTAGCAATAAATTAAATTAAATTGCACATGTGGATTTATTATTTAATCCATAATTAGTAAACTTTATCCAAAATTACAAATCTTGTCCTGTCACTTATGACTCAACATTCCACCAATTGATTTTATTTTGACTTTCAGAGTCTACGTAAGACTTTTTTTTAAAAAAAAAATTATTTACTATTAAATATCCATTTATTTTATTTCAAAATATATTTTTAAAACTATTTATATAATTAATTTTTTAATTTTTCAAAGTTTAGGGACGTAATTGAAATATAACAGCAGTAATAATCTTTTTGTCCCTTCTTTTCTCTAAAGTATAAAATTGGAATAATTTAGTTTTAATTTGTTTCTTAGTTAATTATTGATTTTGGTTTTTCATTTAAAAAAATTTCAATTTGGTCCGTGTAATTTAGTCAAATTTCAATTTGGTCCTTTTATTTAGTTTTAATTACTTGTGACTCACTTTTATGTTGCCACGTGGCAAAATCCTGGCGGAGGCACGGCTGCCGCTGGGCAATCGTCCTACCTTCTGACAAGTGCAGTCTGTTACTTCCCCAGCCTATAAATTCCTCACGCAGTATCACGCTCCTCACACCAAATTATCTCTTCTCTTCTTCATTGTTCTTCGTTCTTGGTTACCATTTCTGCGTTCTTTACAGGAAGTAGTTTCCTGGGGATTTTGATTAGGTGATTGTGTTTACTAAGAACACTGCACATACAGTCACCGCAACCATGCCTGCCGGAGGATTCTCCGCCGTGAGCAAGAACGACGGCACCGTGTTCGAGGCCAAAATCACTCCGATCGTCGTCATTTCTTGTGTAATGGCCGCTACCGGTGGCCTCATGTTCGGCTACGACGTCGGTATCTCAGGTCACTATTGAAACTTTCTCTTACACTTTCTTATAAATTGAAAATCAATACAACACGATTTCAGTTGTCGTGAATCAGGACGACATTCGTTGAAATTAGCACGGATATACTCTGAATTCAAATCGTCTGAAATCTTCGTACACAGTAATTTTATGATTATTTCTGGATCTACCCATGGCCATTACAATTTCTGTGTTTTTAGGTTAATTTAGGAAATGATGGTTTATTTATAATCAAGAAATATTCTATCCATTGGTACCCAACCTTTTGAAAAGTACAAAAGTAAAAATTACTTATGCTTGATGATATCATACCATTGTGGAGAGTGATGATGATGATTATACCATTTGACTTCTTCTGATTTTCCATTTTTGATCAATTTTTGGTTAATTGAAATTCTGAACGTACGGCCATTACGATTGATCGAGTGTTTCTGCTATGACGGCGATGTGCTCGATTACCCTACCAGTAGACCTTATTGCGTTTTATTTATTGATTGATTCTGTTTGATCAATTTTTGGTTGATAAACGCAGGAGGAGTTACTTCGATGCCGGATTTCTTGAAGAAGTTCTTTCCAGTGGTGTACAGGAAGACGCAGATGAAGGAAGAAATCGACAGCAACTACTGTAAATACGATAATCAAGGCCTTCAATTATTTACATCGTCGCTGTATTTGGCGGGTTTAACAGCGACTTTCTTTGCTTCCTACACCACGAGGAGGCTTGGAAGAAGGCTAACGATGTTGATTGCGGGCGTGTTCTTCATTATTGGAACCGTCCTTAATGCCACCGCTGAAAACCTGACGATGCTCATCCTGGGCAGAATCTCGCTCGGCTGTGGAGTTGGCTTCGCTAATCAGGTACATTTACAAGTTTTGATTGCTATAAAATGATGGTTTCTGGAATAAACAAACGTCCAAATTGCGTCTTTTTATCTTTTAAAAAATGTAAATCCATGTTTTGTCAATAACAAATAGTTTTTCGATCTGATCATTATTTATTGGTTAAATTATAAATTTAATCTATATGTTAATATATAGTATTTTATCTAAAAAAAAAAACCTATAGAATGATTAGAAATTAACTCAAATTAAGGAGAAAAATGTAAGCACTACTTTTTAAGAAAAGATTCAATGATCAAAAAAGGTATTTTTTAAAAAACAAAAAAAAAAAGTTGTAATTTTTAGCTACCCGTAGTTAATTTGGATAATTTATATTATTAACATAACTCCTCAAAATGATATGTGAAAAATAAATACATGTAAATATGATAGATTTTTTTTTAATTGAACATTTAATGTGTGGAGTTTATATTCAAGAGAATGTATCATTACATTTCCCATGATTGTTTGTGCCTTGAAAAGTAACATCCGGAAGAAAAAAAAAACCATATTCTTTTCTACTTGATAATTTATTTACTATAATTTTTTAAAATTATTTTTGTTGAAAATAATTTTTTTTTTCTATTTATTAATATAGTAAGAATAATTAGAATTAGTAAGTTAAGATTGATATTGTCCACTTTAAACATAAGGTTTCATGGCTTTGCTTTGGGCTTTTCAATAAGTCTCACATTAATGGAGAGATTATAAATCCTTGATCATTCTTTAGTTTAGTCGATGTGTATTTTCATCATCTAATAAAGATATAAGGGGAAAATCCAAAAAGATAGTTGAAACTTTTCAAATTAGGAGACATTAGAAGCTTGTGAATGGTAAAATATAAGTTTCTCCTTTTCCGTTTATGGGTGTTAGTTTTTCACATGAAGCCTGCTACGTCACCCGCTGGTTTGCTTCTTCTACACCTTTCCTTGCTATAAAATAGTCTCTTTTTTTCTTTTTCTTTTTCTTTTTCCTTTTTTTTTCTTTTAAGAGATCACTTTCTGTTGAAAGCCATGATTTTGTTGTCCTTTCATTATCTCTTTAGATTATCATCTACACACGCTCTCATATTTATATACATTTTCTTATATTTATATCAAAAATTATATTTCTACATAGCTTATCATCCAAGAATATTAATTATTTTCAAATAATTTTTAGCATAATAAATAGGGTAGAGCATATTTGCATTAATTCAATCAATTAGGAAATAAATACTATATTTTAATAAGTTAGAATCGAGCCTTCTAGAGGAGAATATTATGCCTTTAGTTAGCAGTTTCAGTAGGGCTCTTGTGAAGGATTTTGGAAGGATTTTGTTCTTTTGATATTTAATATGATATTATTAATTAAATTTACTTTTTAGGTACTCCAGAACATATTTTTCTTATTTTTAAATCTATGCTTCTTTTTTTTTTTTTTAATTCTGACAAAAAAAAATTGTATGATAAGGAATCTAATCAAAGAGGGACTTTTAAGCATTATGATGTTAAAATTATAGTGGGTGACAAAATTTGTTGTCATATTTATGATGTTATACTACATATGGTACTTTTTTCTCGTATAAAATTGATACATCATTTATATGATAAATTATAATACGGATATACTTAATTTAAATGTATATAACCATATTTGATATACCATTTTTGTATAATGGTAAAGTATGTCACTAATATGTTTAATATAAAGTAAATGGTTAATGTAAATTTGTGTCATTATTGCAAAATATTTTATCATGTGTCGAATTTGTAATCTATTTAATTAATAAACTTGGGTTTAAAGCTAAGTTTTTGTTAAATTTGTAGATGTATGATTATATGAAAAATGGGTTTGGTGATCACTAGTGTATTAGCTTCAATAATCTCGATCTTTTAGACTAATTAGAGTGGAAATGAATGTGTTAAACAGGCAGTGCCACTGTTCCTATCGGAGATAGCCCCAACCAGAATCCGCGGAGGATTAAACATACTATTCCAGCTCAACGTCACCATCGGCATTCTCTTTGCCAATCTAGTCAACTATGGCACTTCCAAGTAAGTGCCACTGTTCAAGCGTAGGAGAACCTTTCATTTCAACGTTGAGTTTTGAATATAAATAATAATAATAAGCCTTTTTCATGTATGCACAGAATTGAGGGCGGATGGGGTTGGAGACTGTCGCTGGGTTTGGCCGGAATTCCAGCCGGCCTCCTTACTCTGGGGGCTCTGATGGTGGTGGACACTCCCAACAGCCTCATTGAGCGCGGCCGTCTGGAGGAAGGTAAAGCGGTGCTTAGAAAGATACGTGGGATTGATAATGTCGAACCAGAGTTCTTGGAGTTGGTGGAGGCTAGCCGTGTGGCTCGAGAGATAAAGCACCCTTTTAGAAACCTCCTCAAGCGGAGGAACCGCCCCCAGCTTGTCATTGCTGTTGCCTTGCAGGTTAGTCTCAAACAAAACTCTTATTCAATTCTTCACCATAAGTATTGCTTGGGCTCTGCTTTGTTGCAATGACATCAAATATTGTCTGCCATATGATCTCTGGAAATTTTAAGTTCATTTTTTTTTTTTTTACTAAATTCACCCTGGCTAGATAAGAGAATGATTGAGTATATAAGTGAGTACACTTATAGTTCTCCAAATCTAAATTACCAACCTTGTGCTTCAAATTGTTCATCAAATTCACCGATCTAGTGTTGAAGATTGTTAGGAGATAAGTCTCGCACCGGTTAATTAATGTTGAAAATTGTTGAGAGAGAAATCTCGCATCGACTAGTTAAGGGATTGATAATGAGTTTATAAGTAGGGAATACTATCTCCATTTTGGAAAGTCGTATTCCTAACATAGTATTAGAGTCATGCCCTGAACTTAGTCATGTCAATAGAATTCTCAAATATCGAATAAAGAAGTTGTGAGTCTCGAACGTGTAGTCAAAAGTGACTCAAGTGTCGAACAAATGGTGTATTTTGTTCGAGAGCTCCAGAGAAGAAGTCGACTCTCGATTTAAGGGGAGGCTGTTCGAGGAATCTATAGGCTTCAAGGAGGCTCTGTGGTATAGTTTGTTTGAGAGGAAATTGTTGAGGATTGTTAGGAGAGGAGTCCTTCATTGACTAATTAAGGGTTGATCTTGGGTTTATAAGTCTAGAGTACTATTCCATTGATCTCCATTGGTACAAGGCCTCTCGAGGGAACAAAAAACAAAGTCATTTATGTTTAATATGAACAATATCATACTATTGGGAAGAGTTTTAATTCCTAACCGGCACAATAAAGCTCACCAAATCTTCATCTTCTTCCGAACAGATATTCCAGCAATGTACAGGCATCAATGCGATTATGTTCTACGCTCCAGTCCTATTCAACACACTGGGTTTCAAAAGTGGTGCTTCTTTGTACTCAGCGGTCATCACTGGAGCTGTGAACGTCGCCTCCACAGTCGTATCAATCTACTCCGTAGACAAAATCGGGCGCCGAATGCTGTTGCTTGAAGCCGGTGTACAGATGTTCATTTCCCAGTTGGTAATCGCCATAATTCTGGGCATCAAAGTAAAGGATCACTCCGACGATCTCACCAAAAGCTTCGCAATATTAGTTGTGGTCATGGTGTGCACCTTCGTCTCTTCGTTCGCATGGTCATGGGGGCCATTGGGGTGGCTGATCCCAAGCGAGACATTCCCATTGGAGACTCGTTCAGCAGGACAGAGCGTGACTGTTTGTGTGAATTTGCTGTTTACATTTGTGATAGCTCAGGCCTTCCTCTCGATGCTTTGCCATTTGAAGTCTGGGATATTCTTGTTCTTCTCCAGTTGGGTTTTGATAATGTCGGTGTTTGTGCTGTTCTTGCTGCCGGAGACCAAGAATGTACCAATTGAAGAAATGACAGAAAAGGTATGGAAACAGCATTGGTTTTGGAGGAGATTTGTTGGGGAGGATGATATCGAGTGCAAGAAAGTTGGAAACAACAGAAGCTAGTCTGAAGAAAACTACTAATGGGTTTAGACCTTCCCTCGAGTTGTAATGCCTTGAAATTTCTAGAAAGATGAAGTGGGATAATAAATTAATAAGGAGATCCCAGCTGTTCCCTTTGCTAAAAGAGTATTTGTACGCATTTCAGGAGCAATTTTGCTTCCGGCACAGAAGGGGTTGGGAAACAAGCAAGGATCTTTTATGTCATGAGCTCAAACCTTCAAAGCCAAAAATATGTTCTTATAAATTAATTCTCGTATCTATCTATTTAGTCCTTGAAAACTCTCTCCAGAACACATTTTATGAGATCGAGGGATTCGAAACATTGTTGATAAGGGTGTGAAATTTTATGAGATCGAGGGAAGATCGAGGGATTCGAAACATTGTTGACAAGGGTGTGAAATTTTATGAGATCGAGGGAAGATCAAGGGAAACGAAACATTGTTGATAAGGGTGTGAAATTTTATGAGATCGAGGGAAACAAAGCATTTCTAATAAGAGTGTGAAAAACTCTCCTTAATAGATCGCACATTGGATAGGAGAGCGAACGAAACATTTCTTATAAAGATGTGAAAAACTCTCCAAACTTTCCCTATTCCAGATTAGTTGGAGAGTGGAACGAAACATTTCGTATAAAGTGAAGAATTCTCTCCAAGGGAACGAAACATTTCTTATAAAGTGAAAAATTCTTCTTAGTAGACGCATTTTAAAAACCGTGCGACTGACGACAATACGACAATACGTAACAGGTCAAAACGGACAATATTTGCTAACGGTTGTCTAGGGCTGTTACACTATCATTCTAATTAATTTATAGAGATAACAATCTCCATGAAATTGTGCCTTAGCAACATATACCAAAAAAAAAAAAACATTATTTAGAGTGGAATTTAATAGACATTATCCTAAGTTTAGGTATAATGGCGCATAGCAAGTTTGTTTCTTCATGGTTGCTGTGCTAACAGTGGCCACAAGCTTTCTACTTGCAATTGTTAAAGTTCAGGAGGCTTAAGAAAAGAGGAGCATTGGGCACATATAAGCAGAAGCACAATCATCTAACTTATTTTACTCCAAGCTGAAAGAAGATTTGAAGTAATCAAATTTATTCAATAAAATGAACTGCAAAAATTACTCAAATATATAAAATAGTAACGATTTCTATCGTCCTCTTTCTTGGACGAACTATCGAGACTTAGACAATGAGAATTTTCCATCGTCCTCTTTCGTTTTCGAGATCTTAAGAGATTCAACTTCGCTATACCTTTTTCAAGGAGAAGATAGGGATGGAGAGTGAGAGCTACATCTTCTGGGAGGATGGATCAGATGAAGCAAGCTCGGCGTACATTCTCGATATTGAGCTGGCAAAGTATTCCTTGGCTTGGGGTCTCTTGATCTGTGGAGAAAAAAGTATCTCAGATCAGCCATATCATACTACTACTCTCAAGATAATTACTACACATTGGCTACTTGCCTTGAATGTAGGAGTGAGAAGACCATTCTCCAACGTGAAAGGCTCATGGACCAAAGTGATAGCTTTTACAAATTCAAAACCTCTCAACTGGAAATAAACAAGGAAATTGTGTTTGTTTTATAATTGCGCGAGTGAGAGCTCGCATAATCGAATCAATAATTTACACAATAATTGCTAGCTTGCTTGCCTGTGCCTCTCTTCCAACGGCATCCATGTCGGCCAAGACTGCAGCCCTTACTCTCGGGTCATTGCAGAGTTGGTTTAGATCATTGTACTGCACATAGATTGTTAAACGAACACTTGATTAGAAAGATGAGAAAAAAATGCTCTTAGAAGAAATTGAGTTGATTCGTGCACACCTTGTGAAGATTATGCAAGTGTTGGGAGTGAGTCCCACGTTAGCTAATTTAGGGAATGATCATGGGTTTATAAATGAGGAATACTATCTTCATTGATAATGAGGCCTTTTGGGGAAGTCCAAAATAAAGCCATGAGAGGTTATGCTCAAACTGGACAATATCATACCATTGTGCAGAGTCGTAATTCCTAACATGGTATCAGAACCATGCCCTAAACTTAGCCATTAGCCATGATAATAGAATCCTCAAATATCAAACAAGAATTGTGAGCCTCGAAGGTATAGTCAAAGAGTGACTAAAGTGTTGAACAAAGGATGTATTTTGTTCGAGGGCTCCAGAGAAAGGAGCCGAGCCTCGATTAAGGAGAGGCCCTTGAGGCTTATAGTGTACTTTGTTCGAACGGAGCATTATTGGGAGTGAGACCCACATTGGCAAATTTAGGAAATGATCATGGGTTTATAAGTGAGGAATACTATCTCCATTGATAATGAGGCCTTTTGGGGAAGCCCAACGCAAAGCCACGAGAGCTTATGCTCAAACTGAACAATATCATACCATTGTGGAGAGTCGTGATTCCTAACATAAAGTCCAATAAGGCCACAAAATAAGTGCTCGAAGGCAATTCTTTCTGAAACTGTCTAATGTTTTGCTTGAAGGATGCAGAGCAAAGCAACTCAGGTTCTAGCTGAACTTACAAGCTAACAAATTAGAGTAGCCACTCATTGTCCCTCTTGCCCCCTTGTAACCACCACTACACTTTCTATCTAGCGTCACGTCCGTTAATTCGACCATAAAATTTTACCATCCAGTAAGCACATACTTACACCTCTAGACTAGATGCAGGTTTCTTTTCTCAACAACTTCCATTAGTTTCCTCAGAGACTCAAAATTTCTCGGTTGACTAAAAAGAGGAGCTTATTTGCAACTCAAGTTTAGGATGGAGCCCAATGTGTAATATTTCCAAGACTAAGACACAAAACTAGTGTGTGTACCTTAATGCCTTCAGAAGAAGCCCATGCTTTCAACGTCTCCAAATCAACTGAGACTACAGCTACCAGAGATGCATTGAAGCTATCACCTTCAGGATGTAGCAAAGAGCATCAGTAACCAAGTGGCACTACGACGTGGTGGCACGTATAATGACTAGTGATATTGCATGTCAAGAGAAAAGGGTAAAGAAATTGTAGAGAATCCCATTTCTCACCGTAAACAAAGCATTGGGCAACAAACTTGCACTTCGCATACACATTCTCAATTTTCTCTGGTGCAATGTACTCTCCCTGAGCCAACTTAAAGATGTTCTTCTTCCTATGGACAAGTACAATACTTTTAACAAAAGAAGGAAATCCCTCAACCAAAAAGATGCATAGGAGATTTATATAAGCTTAAGAGCGCTTCTCAGAGAAAGAAAAAATTCCAGAATTCTTTTTGTAGCAATCTTTTAACTGACAAGTCTGTCCCAATTCTATAAGTCAAAAGACGAGAAAGAGGAGCGAGGAGATAGAGCTCACCTGTCGATAATTTTTAAACGACCACCAGGCATCCATAATCCAATATCTCCCGTATGGAGCCAGCCATCTTCATCAACAGCCTCCCTCCTGTCCAATTCAAATCATTATTTAAATTCTTAAGTACTCCATCAATTAAAATCATTCAAAGCGATGAGGAAAGAAAACTGTTACGTCTGCACTTCTTCTTTGAAATAGCCTTTGAAAACAATGGGGCCTCTGACACAGATCTCACCACGAGAATAGGGCTGATCATCAGATGTGTAATTCATCTCTGGAACATCCACGAGCTTTATTTCTAAAACAGAAATGAAGGAAAATCTCAACTCGGATTCGGAATAATGAATCAAAAACAATTACAGTGAGCATGACAAAGGCCTCAGAAACGATGGGAAATCAAGTTACCCACTTGGTGCAAAACCATAATAAGTTACTCAGCATCTAATTGATATTACAACTTCTTTTTGAAGGGAAGAAAACAATATGACCGGCATACTTACACCAATGAACGTATGAAAAAGAACTTAAAACCTATGGTTTTTACCATACATCCAATGGTTAGGAGGGTGACAGACACATTGAATACTTTTCCCTTTTAGACCGACAACTTCAAAGCAATGTCCCACACTTTCACAAAATTGAGTTTGTTGCATATCAGAATTCCAGTAAAATAGCAGCAGAGTCGAGATGCAATCCTCATAAATTTTTCGTGCATTTATCACCAAAAACTCCTCGAGCACGTCTTAAATTCCAAATGACAGAAGCTCATGTCAGCAGCTTACCACAAGCCGGATTAGGAGCCCCAACATGACCACAAAGGGTGTCGTCTGGGTCCATAGCACTTATAACACAAGATGTTTCCGTCATTCCATACCCTTCAAATACTAAACCACCAAAGCAGCTGTGGAGCAATAACATCTAATTCTTCAGAAACTAAAAGGAAGCTGAAACAAAAATGATAATAATACACAAGAGGACAAGAATAAAAATAGTAACTCCGTCACCAAGATTCAAAACTCTGAAAGAAAAAGATAAAAACTCACATTTTTAAAAATTCCAGTATATCAGGAGACAACGGTGAGGCACCTGACGCCAATACACGAACCCGTCCTCCGATCTTTGCCTTTATCTTATTAAACACCAATTTATCCCAGATGGGAGATGGAATTTTTCCTATAATTGCAGAATGCCTCATAATACAAACAATAAATTGCAACATTTTGAAATACTAATACGTAAGAAAGGAAATGAAAAGTAAGGTTGAACCCTATAAATAGATGCAAGTAGGAATCAATAAGCAAAATTTGTAAAAAGAGAGAAGGGCAAGGACGAGGACCTAAGAAGCACAAAGACAAACCCGGGATATGGACATAACACAACACGGATACAGTGAATTTTTTATATAAAAAAGGACACTGGCCCATTGGGGACACTTTTTTTTGTATAGAATATAGATATATTAATACTTCTTTATGGATAAGAACATGTAAATTTAATATAAAAACAAGATATATTTCATTAAAAACATATAAATTTAATCAATTAACGATATTTTGAAAATTTAGAAGATATAGAAGGATTAGCTGACTTTGACTAGAGGAAGAAGATGTCATCCTCATACTTTAGGAATGATCAAAATATATATGGAATAAAAAAATAGAGTCTATAAGAGAATCTCTAATTTTCTTTTTCCTAATTATATTTTTTCAAGAGTGGTGTCCAAACCATGTCCAGTTTATTTAAAATTAGAAAAAGTACATACATATATATACACATTCATATACAATATAATATAATTCAGACACATTTTTTAGCATGTTGGACACGTGTCCAGAGTGTGCCGATAAGTGTCCATTCTTCCTAGACAAAGACTCGAGAAAAGTTTAGTCACTCATTTAACATAAACTTCTGATGCAAAATCTTGAGGAAGTTGAATCCGAGGGGTGGGTTTTCAGTTGAATCAACTTCCCACATTTGCCTAGCGCTAAGGCTAGACTTAAGTCCCTTTGGGTGTCATAAAAGTCAAAACCCCAAATGATCTATTCGGTATGCATTTTGACTTCTGTTTAATGTTTTTTTTACGTTCACTTAATCAAATGAATTAACCGAATATCTAATTGATAGATTTTTTTTAAAACTGTTTATGGATTCTGTAATCTAAATAGGAAAATTTCTTAAAACAGCATTTCTATATCTTGAAATCATAAATAGATTTTTCAAAAAGAACAGTAGGACTTGTAGAAGCATGAAGCACGACATGCAAAAGTAAAGATTTACGGTTAAAACCATACCGCTCATTATTGCTTGCTTCTTGGAATTATAAGCGACATTAAACAGTCTCTCCTTCAGCACACCAGAGGTCTTTACAGCATTAATAATTCTGTTCACCACGTAATGAAACTCGGTGATAAGAGAAGCAATTTATTTTCTGATTGATCAATAACTTTTTGTGCGTGATCTTACCCAGCATATATTCTGTTGTACAGCCTGGGAACACTGCAGAAGATCGTAGGTCTTAATGCGACCATATCATCCATTAATTTCATATTATCCTAATACACGTATAGAAGACCATATCAGTTTGCCTCTAGTAATGAATGACATCAATTAACCTGAGTATAACATAGAAAGACAGTATCGATATAGCTTCATACCCCCTGGTAAAAACCAACAGCAACCCCGAAATAAACCGATGAGACCTGGTTAGCCCGTTCATATATATGTGCCAAGGGGAGGTATGATATGTAGCTGACAATTAGAATGTGAATTCAGTAGAAACCAAATATATCAATCAAACTAGATGATAGTGTCACACTACAGTAATGTAAAATTGAAACAGCCAATACTCACACATCTGAGGGGTATAATTTTAAGGCAAGAGAGCATCCAGCAACACTTGCAATTAAATTCCCATGTGTCAGAACAGCACCCTGGCAAGATATTAATGTGAGAATAAGAAAACATACCCTTGATCAAGTCAATGTTAAGCAATGTCAACGGCTTCGTGCTCGGAGAGAAAAGAAATCTTAGAAGTTACACCTTTGGGGTCCCAGTTGTACCACTCGTGTAGCAAATAGTTGCAATGTCATCAGGTTTTGGCGCGCAAAAAGACTGGATGTTGCTGCTACCCTGAGGAAAGAATGCCCAATGACAAGGTTGCTTCAAAAAATGGGGTAAACTGTACATATAAGAACCCAAAAAGCATATTGCAAAAAGTTGCCAAAATGGTGTCATTATGTAATACAATACTCAGTTATTCCCAACTGCACAAAACCTTAATTGTTAATTAGATATTACAATCATCCAAGAATGTGAGTGGGTCCAAGCCAACTTACCAACAACTCGATCCAAAAAATATTTCGTTTCTTTTAAAAACAAATATATTTTTTCTTTTTCAGTTTTTCTACTATCTCAATTAGGTACAAAGAAGATGAATGTTTCAAACTAGGGCTTTCCAATAATGATGGAACATGAAACGTAAGGACCTAATCACTGGTAAGGTTGATTTCTTTCTATATGCCTTGCAATCAATATAGAATAATGAAATCAAAATGCTCATATTTTAATTACATCACAGGAGGATTTTTCTGTTTTTTCTTTTCTTCTTTTCTTCTCCTCTCCAATTATATCATGGGAGATTAGGGGCTTACCTGACCAAGCAAACTTGCATATGTTAGAACCTGCACCCCAGACAATGATGGAAGCGATGGTATTTGATCATCTATTCCACCTACAACCTATAAAATTTGGAAGCTAAGATGATTAAATGATTGTAAGTTGTAACAGCAGCGGGAGATCAGAACCAAATTGAGATCAATTCCAAACACACGGTGATTCATACCACAATCAGGCGTACAGTTGGAATTTCTGATAAAAAGCTCAATAGCTGCAAGTTGAAAGTTAAATAATAAAGAATTCTTTTCTGAAATCAAATCTTCAATGAAAAATCAAGAATATAGTTGTAATACTATGAGAAACTGGTCCTTCCAGCAATGTTATTTCTTTTGGATATCAAAGTCAATTTCTAACAATGTAGCAGACTGACTAAAATCTAATGTGTCACTCACAATATTCAATGTTTGTGGAACACAAAATATAACTTGTACAAGAGCATGATTTACAATGTACTTGACCGCATCAGGACCTGTAAAACAGAAAGAAGTTCAAACACAAGGCCAAATGGAAGTTTTTTTTTTTTTTTAAGAAAACAATATCCAGAAAAGAAATTACAAACCAAGAGTATCATATAGAGGAACTGATATGTAAGAATATGCTGAGCAGGCGTGATCAACAACAAGCCACTCAGGTCTATTGATGAAATATAACCCGATGCAAGATCCCTGTGTTAAGAATACCAAGGATAGTTAGGCAACACTAGAGAAATAACAGTGTAGATACACGTTCATCAGGTTTAACAACTATACCAATCGCTGTAAAAAGAAATGATAGACTGAGCACTTTTCTATCTGTTTTAACAAAAAAAACTAACACTATTCTATCCCTAGGCATTCATTCAGTCACTCACCTTTGGTATACCGTGATTTACAAGGCCAGAACCTAATGCTGTCCGAGCAGTACCTGCTTCTCCATATGTCATCCATTTGTACCTTGAACAGTGAAAGGAGGAGCTGAACTTTATGGAAACAGCCATTACCAAAAATTTGAAATTTAAAAGTAGCATAAAACTCACTCTCCAACTGTTCCATCATATCGGATCCGGGTACCTAGATATTTATAGTCTCTATATACATCAACTGAACGCCTAAAGTGGATAAAATAAAATCAGAAGCCATATAATCAACATTAGCAGTAAACAAATGACACCAGTTATTTACGATCAGAAAAGAGATAGAGGTGGTCAAGATACTCACGTAAAATTATCGTGCAGTGTACCAATTTCAGGATGATCAGGAAATCTATCCACGAGCTTCAACGGAGACCGAGCAGATCTACCATAAGGAAACAAATTATGTTTATGTCGCATAGCCATACAGAAAGGGTAAATCAAATTCAAACAATCCATTACTTCTTTACCTATATACATTCCACTTGCCAGTCTGCAATTTCTCTGGAAGCACAACACTGTAGCCATCCACTGCTCAGAATTAATAACTTTGACAATGTCAGCAAAGCAAGGGAGAAGAAGGAGAACAATTAGCATAAGGTATCACATATATTTACGAAAACAGGGTACAGCATTACTCATTTCCTCATATTTGATAATAGACAAGAAGATAGCCCTTAAAATTTTCTAGACTTATACATATGTAAGAACTGTGGCTCGTAACCTTTACGTGCTTATTGTTTCGATTCAGATTCAAAATGCTGTTCGTTTCTTACCCAAGTACCAACTAGAAACCCCCAACCTCTAGTCCAATAATTACAAACTGGAGCTGAATATTCCTGCAAAAGAGAACAGCCCCCAGAAACTCTACTGCTAAATGAATCTTCACACTGTGCAGATACCATAAATGCAAAGGAAGTGATAGAGGGGTTAATCGTAACTTCTAAATAGATATGATTCCTTCTCGAAATCGACCACTTTCCTGCAATCAGTTCCAATTCCAATTCAGCCTGGCCCCAAAGACTTCAACTACTTTGATAAAATTACAGCAGCCCATTGATAGAGGTGGAAAGAGGACGCACAGAAATTGAGATAAAAGGAATCGTGTGTCCCCACAACTTGCATGCCAAGTTTTTAAACTTTCTTTTTTCGTTTGTTCTTCAATAACTAGGTCCTAATGATAGTAATTTGTATTCACCCGCGTCCAAAGAATGCTTGGCAGCGTATAGATCTTTTGAAGCTAAGCATATTAATCACTGTTGAACACAACTCACTGTGGGAAACACTCGCTCTCTTTATTAAGACCAATCGAGAAGAGAATACAAGACACTCTGTAGAATACTTCTGCTTTTTATTGTTTTTTTAGATTTCTTGGATGAATAACCTAGGTAGGGTGGGGTATTTATACTGAACCTAAACCATCTATATTTAACCAATCTAAATCTAGACCTAACAAATCTAAATCTTTCTCCTAAAATATTTAGATCTCTTTCTCCTAAAATCTCTACTAAAATAAATATACTGGGCTCGTACAATTATTGGGCTTGACTCTATTGGGCTAGTACAATTATTGGGCTTGACTCTATTGAGCTAGTGATGATATTTCAACACTCCCCCTCAGCACTAGTTCTCATTCGCTGCATCATGTTGAGCTGACAGTGAAAGCTCTCACGTTTGCCAATATTCAGCCCTTTTGTAAACAAGTCTGCTACTTGGTCATCTGTCTTGATCTGCTGCATCTCGATTTCTTCCTTTAGGACCTTCTCTCTAATGAAATGGTAGTGCACCTCCACAAGCTTTGTTCTAGCACGAAACACCGGATTTTCTGCTAGGCGAATCGCAGATTGGTTGTCGCAATGAAGTGGTATTGGATACTCAATTTTCTGGTGCCAATCTTCCATCAAAAGTTTTAACCATGTATTTTCCTGAGCTGCTCTATACTCTGCTTCTGTAGTTGATAATGATACTGTTGGTTGTCTCTTGCTACACCAAGAAATTGTTCCCGAACCAAACTTGAACACATACCCAGTGGTTGGCCTCCAAGTATCATGGTCTCCTGCATAGTCAGCATCACTATATCCAGCTAGCTTCCAGTCTTTGCTTCTTTTGTATAAACGATCGTAATTGATTGTACCTTTGACATATCTCAAGGTTCGTCGAGACGCATCCAAATGAGCCTTCTTCGGATTTTGCATATATTGATCAATGACACCAACTTTATTTTCGAATTTCTTCGATTGGTTCATGTAGAACTCTCTGTTTAACTCTCCATGCAAGAAAGCATTATTCATATCCATCTGCCATAATTTCCAATCTTTATTTACCGTAAGTACTGGAGGAACTTGTACGATAATGATCTTTGCCATTGGACTAAACGTTTCATCATAGTCTAGTCCATATTCTTTAGAGAACCCTGAATCTATAGTCTGAGCTTTGTATCTCACGATTGATCCATCCGGGGTACACATTATTTCGTAAGCCCACTTGCAAGAGATGAGTTTGGTATCTCTTGGTCTTGGCACTAATTCCCAAGTCTGATTTTGTTCCAGGGCTATAGTTTCTTCCTCCATCGCTTTCTGCCAAGCTGAGTTTTGTGATGCTTCTTCATATGTCTCCGGCTCATTAACTTCGTCTTCTACTGCGTTGGCACACTCTGGATTTGCCTTTAGGATTATTTCTGAATGTCTGAGTTGTTGAGGTGTCATTTCATTTTCACTAGGCTCGCTTGGTTGAGTCACTTCTTGCTCACCAACACTAGTGTCACTTGAATCTTCAGGCATATCAGCACTTAAGCAAATGTGCACAATTTGCTCCACCGTCTTTTGTGGAAGAATCTCTTCAGTTTGCTCCCCTATGTTCTGGAGAAGAATTTCTTCAATTTGCTCCCCCATGTCCAGAAGAATGTCTTCAGTTTGCTCCCCCATGTCCTGGAGAAGAATGTCTTCAGTTTGCTCCCCCATGTCCTGGAGAAGAATGTCTTCAGTTTGCTCCCTCGTGTTCTGTAGAAGAATTTCTTCAATTTGCTCAAGGTGTGGTAATACTTCCTTCTCTAAGGGCCACCCATCTTCCATTGCACCACTTTGATCGTCAATCATGTGGTTTAAGCATCTGGAATCAATAATCCAGTCATCCTCATAATCGATATGCTCTTCCATCATTGCCATGAGTGCTAGCTCGTCTTCTACTGTTGGACATAGCACCTCTGCATCCCATTCATCCTCTATCTTCTTTTTGGATATTGCCACATTGCTTTCAACCGACTTTTTCCTGGACCAACAATCTCTAGACATGTGGCCCTTTTTCCTGCAATTATAGCAAATACCTTCAAATCTCTTTCCTTGGAAACTCTTGTTGTCGTTCTTCTCAGCTCTCTCAGGTTGTGCAGTTCCTTGGTGGCTTCTTCTTTTGTCACCATTGTATCCACGTTTGGTAGACGGCCTATTATTGCTCCGACTTTCACTCGTGTAGAGTGCTTCTTCTTCACCCTTCAATGTGAAGCCTCCCATTTGTTTAGCCATGGCTTCTTGGCTGGCTAACAAATTTTCGAACTCTACCAGTGATGGTTGAGTGGGCCATCCTTGTACAGCAGCAATGAAGCTTCGATATTCTGGTCGCAATCCGTGGATTATAATCCTCTTCATTCGAGATTCTACAATGGCGGACTTTGGGTCTAGTTCAGTAATCTCCCGACAGATCGATTTGACCTTGTGGAAGTACTGAGCAATCGTCATATCACGTTGTGAAATTGACAACAACTCATTCTCCAAAAGTTGTAGTCTCGTATCGTTCTTCTTTGAGAACAACATCACGAATGTGTCCCATGCTTCTTTCGGTGTCTTGTCATCCCAAATATGTTCTAACATCTCTTCTCCGATGGTGGTCTTCAAGGCAAACATTGCTTTGCCTGCTTTGATTCTCCATTTGCGCAATGCGCCGTTAGAATCCTCCTCTGGCGGCGTAGTTTCACACCCACCAACGATCTCCCAAAGATCTTGTCCTTGTAAATAGGACATCATGCATGTTGCCCACGTGTTGTAGTTGTTGTTGTTGAGTTTCTTGATTCCTCCAACGATTTGGAAATCACCCATCGTGTTGGTCATACCTCAGTAATACCAAACAAGTTCTTTTGACACAAGACTTGCAGAGTCACAGACTTCTCACGACACAAAAGAAACTCACTCACCACTAAACTCAAGAAATCGTTTCTGATGTGGAAGATCAGACAGAGCTGCAACCACAGAGCATACTAAGGATTCCAAGAGATCAGATAACCTACACTAACCTCGCTCTGATACCAAATGTTGAACACAACTCACTGTGGGAAACACTCGCTCTCTTTATTAAGACCAATCGAGAAGAGAATACAAGACACTCTGTAGAATACTTCTGCTTTTTATTGTTTTTTTAGATTTCTTGGATGAATAACCTAGGTAGGGTGGGGTATTTATACTGAACCTAAACCATCTATATTTAACCAATCTAAATCTAGACCTAACAAATCTAAATCTTTCTCCTAAAATATTTAGATCTCTTTCTCCTAAAATCTCTACTAAAATAAATATACTGGGCTCGTACAATTATTGGGCTTGACTCTATTGGGCTAGTACAATTATTGGGCTTGACTCTATTGAGCTAGTGATGATATTTCAACAATCACCAACACTGAACCCTCTGCCTTGCGACATAGAGAAAAAGAAGAAATATGAATGATATGAACCTCACTCATATGCATTTCACTCCGTACAAACCCCGTTCAATCGAATTTGAGCTAGCTACAGAGGCGATGCCCCACAACCGGACCCAACTACAGAGACGATGAGAATCCAAAAAAACTGGACTCAGAAAATAAGAAACTTAATCAGCAAACAATGTGAAAGCCCAATAGACATGGTACACAGCCCACAAGTGTTCAAACAGACAGCATTTAATCACCAATGCGTTTGGGCAACAAACCATAGATCTTATGGCCCCCACGTTTGCTCCGATTGGCCGACCACAACAGTCATACCTTCATCGGTTGTGGAACGTTGCGTATCTCTAGCTTTTCATACGAAACGAAATTACAAAATATTCGGAACAAATTACGCCATGAGCACTCAAAGAGCAAGTAAGCGAGAAAAGAGAGAGACCGTTAAAAAACTCGCCAGCAGTAGCATTGAGCCGGAGCTGAGAATAAGATAAGTCGTCGGCGGGAACAAGATGATCCTGAATAGCCCGTAGGCGACGTCGAGCCACCGAGGAATCCATGAGCACTCAAAGCTTTCAATCCGCCACTGCCAATCTAACAGATCACTGTAGAGACAAAGCAAAAAGGAGATAGAATCGTAGTATTCAATCGGTGGATCAAGAAAAAGGTAAAATCATATATACATACCGGATAAAGAAATAAACAGGCACGCATCTTTAGGTAGATGACGGAACCATGACCGCAACGGCGATGGATTCGGATATAGCTTTCCAACTCTTTCTGAAAAGATAACTGATTGGTTCTATTATCCACAAACAGAGCTATGATCCATGTGATGAACTAAAAACAAAACTGAAGAAGATGATTTGAATGTTAAACGCATCCGCATTCAATTCGTAGACTTTGATTTTTCATTTTTGTTTAGTCAACTTCCCATTTTCAGATTTTTGGCTTCCGTTACTTGGTTCGATCAAAATCCTGCGGCCTACGACTTCTCAAAATGTACAATTTTGCTTCAATTTTTTTTTTTTTTTGGTTATTTGTAAAAATATTAAAAATATTCTATAATTATATGATATTGTCCACTTGAATATGAGCTCTCATGGCTTCGACTCTCTACAATATATGATATTGTTCACTTTGAGCATAAGCTCTAGTCATTTTGCTTTAGGCTTCTCAAAATGCCTCGTACCAATTAAGAGAGTATTCCTTTATAAATCTATGATTATTTCCTAAATTAGGCCGACATAGGACTTTCATCATCCAACACCTCCCCTCGAATTTAAAGTCAGTTGTTCGATACTGGAAGATTGCTTAAGTTCTCTTGATTTTGCTTTAGTTTTCAAAAGGTCTCATAGCCATGGAGAGAGAATAAATCTATTATTATTAATATATATATATATATTATTTTATTATTATTTTAAAAAATAAAAGTTAAAGATATTAATGAAAATTTTGTAAGTTATAATATATTTTGTATGTATTTAATCCAATAAATAATAATTTTTACTTTTCTATCAAGATTTTAATAAAATGCAGTAAATGTAAATTGCCCGTCGCCGAGTCATTCCGGCGTGCTCCGGCGAGGAGTTGCACAGAGCATGAGTTCCGTCAGTGGCTATGGATCGGCATACTCCGCCAACATATCATCCATGGAAGAACTCCAGAGTGCAAACCAAGGCGCCATTATCCACTGCAAGAACTCACTAATCCAGAACGACAATACCGTCAACGACGCCGACGTTGTGGAGTGGGACTTTGCGCCGGTGGCAGTCGGTTAGATTTGACCTCCAAACTATTGTCGTGGGTCGCATCTCTCTCTCTCGCCCGTCATGTCGATTAAAACGACGTCGCATTAAAGACGCTGCGACACCTCACATGCCCATTACGCTGCACCACTTCGACACCTATTTTTTGTCTTCTCTACGGTTTTTCCGGCGTTGACTTTGACCACCACGTGGGCTCCCACATTATGGGCCTCCCGACCCATTCTGCTTCAAGGCCCAGTCCATGTTTATCCTCTTTTCTTTTTATATAATATATATATATATATATATATATATTTTTTTTTTTTTATTTAATGCGTTAATGTTTGGTTCCGATTGACATATTTTTTAATAAACTTTTTTTTACGATGTCACACAACATAAGATTGCTCCAAATAAAAATCGGTTTAATAAAATTGTTGGTATAGATAGTAATTTCAGTCATTTTATTTTTACCATACCCTTAAAATTACTATTTTTTTAATGTGGTCTTAATTTATTAATATATTTCTTATTTACAAGAGGTCGGTGTTTACATTAAGGTCATCCATAAAAACTTATAATTGACTGCATTGCTTCACTGTACGTACCTAAAAAAAACAAGTTCAATAAAGACAACAATAATATCACCCACCTACCAAAAGGGGTAGAAGCTCTCGCCATTAGTCAAAAGCTCTAAAGTAACAACAAATCATACCTGGATTGAATCATTACGCTACATTCAACCCTAAACCCTACCTCACACCTACTTGTTCGACTAGAATAAAACAACCCTCACGCGTTAATTACGCAATGTTTAATACAAGCATGTTAATTAACGCGTTTACAAAAGAAAATGGCGATTAAACAACCATACCAACAAAATCAAATATGATTAATTCACTCGTTTCATATACTAATCGTATTAAAAAAATTATAATATAGTATTTATTGACAGTTGAAAATGTTATAAGCTTTAATTTATATATGTATCATACTTATATTATAATAATATAAATACTCCAATACATAGCTTGTCACTCACGCTATACAAATTTGTTATATTTGAAAAGAAGCAGCCAGCCCTTTTTTGGTATCTTTATTTAAAAGCAATTAAAAGTGAGAAAAAAAGAAGCAAAAGCTTGAGACTAAATATTATTTATCTATTTAACTTTTTATTTATTTGAATTTAATCCATTAATTAAAAATTATTTAAATTTACATAATTTGGTAGATAAATAATATTAATCATCATATAAGAGTCACGATTCAATTTTATTAAATTATATTTTTTTAATATGCCACGTGTACTTATTTCTTTTGTGTGAGGACAAAAGGCCATTATTATACGGCCCATGTGCAGGGGATGATGGGCCTCCACGGTTGACATGACGTGGACGGGAAATCTTCTTCTTCTGGGGTCGCGCGGACAAACATCATTCAGGCCTGTGCCTCGGTGGCCATGGCCACGGCAGCAGATCAAGTGAATACAGTTGACTGGTCTTATATTATCCTAACAACTTAGATTTAATTTAACTAATCTTAGTTGTTTGAGGTTTTAATTACTCGTTTGGTAAATTCGATATTAGAACATTTATTATTTACTCTATATTCATTTGGGCTCAGGTAGAATTCTTATTAATTTACCTTTTTACCCTTTTGAGTAGAGGTTAGCTTTTAAATTTGAAATTGATTCTGTTTGAATGATGAAAATCTCATATCTACTGATTTAGGAAATGATCTTGAATTTATAATCCAATAATACTCTCTGCTAGGCCTTTTGGAAAAGCCTAAAGCAAAGTCATGAGAGCTTATGTTCAAAGTGAACAATACCATGCTATTGTGGAGAGTCGTGTTTATCTAACTGCTTATACGACTGTATTTCTATTCTTATTTTAATTTTAAGTAATTTAAATATTATGACATAAATTTTTTAGTTAATTATAATAATGATAAAAACTAGTGAAGTCAGTAATTAAGAAAATTAACCTAAACGATAAAAAGTAAAAAAAAAAACTCTAGCGAGTAAATTTTTAAAATTTAATGAAAATTAAATATAAAATAAAAATGATAAACAAATAAGTATATTTCCAAAAAATGCCAAAGACAAAAGAAGAGGGAAATCTGAAAGTATTTACTGTGCGAATTTCCCGAACTACCCTCTCCTCCTCTCTCTCTCTCCTCTTTCTCTTCTCTTTCCCACTTGATGAAACCCCAGATTTGGTTCTCTGGATCAGTCTCTTCCATATCTCGTTATCCAAGCTCCTCTGGTTGTTTATGGAGCTTCAGAAGCGTGTAGATCAGAGTCCCCCAGAGAGGAAAGGCCACAAGCGGAAACTGGAGGAGGAATTTGAAGAGGAACGGGAGATCGCGGTGCCTACAGGGGATGCCAAGCAAGCGTTACTCACTGAGGTCAGTGCTCAAGTTGAAATTCTCAATTCCTCTTTTTCATGGAAGGAAGCAGATCGAGCTGCTGCTAAACGAGCTACTCATGTTCTTGCTGAGCTTGCTAAAAACGGTATTTCTCCGATCTCCACGTGTTTTTTCGCCTGTTCTATTTCGATCTTTAGAGTTTCCAGCGGTTGATCTTCTTCAGGATGACTCTACCTTTTAAAAAAAATTATTGTCAATTGATTAGAATTTTTGTGTTTTCTTGGTGTTGCCAGAAGAGGTAGTAAACGTGATTGTGGAAGGTGGAGCCGTGCCGGCTTTAGTCAAGCATCTACAAGCACCGCTTATTGTTGACGGTGATCGTAGTCTTAAGCCATTCGAGCACGAGGTTGAGAAAGGAAGTGCTTTTGCGCTTGGACTACTGGCTGTAAAGGTCAAATTTAATCTGTTGCTGTTTGACCTGCCCTATTGGCACATATAAATTTTCCAATTATCATTTCGTTAGTGTGTGACTTATTTTTGCATGTTTTTTCCAGTTGAAGTAGATACTAGCTAAAATTTTATCTGCATCAATTAGCAGCGTTGAGAAGTATTTTGAACTCAAAATACTAGCGTAAATAAGGCCTTTCCATGCATTTTGTCTAAGATTTTGGGTCAAGGCGTTGCAAAGAGTAAACACAGTCTTTTAATTGGATTGCATGTTTATAGTTGTAGCTCATGCGTTATCCCCTCTTGGGCTCTTGTTGGACATTTGCAGCTGAATAGAAGTAAAACATATTATAGTAATGCATGCGCATTAGTTATCACCTTCATCCCAGACCCAACGCTCTGTGCATTCTGCAACTGATTTCTGATTCATTTCTTACTTTTATCCTCTCTCAACAGCCTGAGCACCAGCAACTGATAGTTGACATTGGCGCTCTGTCACACCTCGTTGAGCTATTAAAGAGACACAAGGATGGTTCTTCTCGAGCTGTGAATAGTGTTATTCGTAGAGCTGCAGATGCCATTACAAATCTTGCCCATGAGAATAGTTGCATCAAAACACGGGTTAGGTATGTTTAGTTGTCGAACTTTTAACTTTTAAAATTGTCATCAAAACCTGTTCTTAATGAGGATTTAAACATTCAGGATGGAAGGTGGAATTCCTCCGCTTGTTGAATTGCTTGAATTTACTGACACGAAGGTGCAAAGAGCTGCTGCTGGGGCATTACGGACGCTGGCCTTTAAGAATGATGAGAACAAAAATCAGGTAATTGGCATTCTTCTGCAAATTCGATGTTCAACTGTAGTTTTAATATATAAATCATACATCTTCTTGGCTAACTGGCAGATTGTTGAGTGTAATGCACTCCCTACACTCATTTTGATGCTTCGGTCGGAGGATGCTGCTATACATTATGAAGCGGTAGGATTTTATCTATGTGACAAACTTGAAAATTTCTTGCTTTTTAATGAATTGATATCTTTAATTGGATATATGGATTTTGTGATTTTAGGTTGGTGTTATTGGAAATTTGGTTCACTCATCCCCAAATATAAAGAGAGAAGTTCTTCTTGCTGGAGCTTTGCAACCTGTTATTGGATTACTCAGGTATTCTGACCTTCAGGATTCTTGTCACGTCCTTTGTTTTTTACCGCTTCATTAGATGTAACTTCAGGAATCATGTCATGTACTTTGTATATTTCTGCTTCAACACGTTTTGTGCCTATCTTCTCACATTTTCAATTTA